TGCCGGGACTGGTGGTGTTGGGGGCACTAGACTGAAGACCCTACGGAGTCTGGAGCTGCTGGCGCTGGAGCTGAAGACCCTACGGAGTTTGGAGCTGCTGGCGCTGGAGGCTCTGGCGCTGGTGGCGCTAGAGCTGGAGGAGCTGGAGTTGGCGGCACTAGAGTTGGAGGAGCTGGCGCAGGAGGCGCTGGAGCGGGAGGAGCTGGAGCTTTTGACCCTGGAGGCGCTGTGCGGCCGCGACCGTACTTCGTTCCCCTGCTTCAGCAGGTTCTTGGTGTCCCGTTTTCTACTAGCCTTACTCCTCCCCTCCTGTGTCCACCGCCTGACCAATCGCAGCTACCGTTACAGCAGGCCTCTCCGCTGCCTGCTCCTTCTCCTTCCTATGAGCAGACCGGCGGTCTTACAGAGCGTCGTGAGCCTGCGTCTCTTCCTGTCTCGCCTGTTTGCACTGCTCATCGCGTTCCTCGTTCACGTCCTCCTCCTGTCCCCGGCACGCACGATATGGCACTTCGTCCTTCCTCTCTTCCACTGCGTATTCCTGTGCCTGCTCCTCCTGAGTCCTCTCTTCCTGAGGTCCCTGACCCTGAGTCTGACCGCGCTCGTGCTGCCAGTCCTGCTATCTCTTGTCTCCTTGCCACTGCTGTAACTGACCCTTCCTTTGAGTCTGCTGCTGCGTCTGCCCTCATTGCTGAGCTGCTTGACTTGGCTGCTGCCTGTCGTCTAGACTACGCCACTGCTCTTGTTGCTGACTCTACGTCTGCTAGTTCTTCGTCCATCAGGGGTGAGTGTGCTCTTGGCACGGACGTCCTTGAGGACAGGCAGGAGGACTTTGAGTGTCTTGCAGCTGCTGTACCTTGTTTTGCTTCCATGCTGCTTGCCCCTGAGGGAGACCCGGATGCACCAGACATCCCGACCCCGCGCTCTTACGCTGAGGCGATTACGGGTCCTTACTCCTCTAAGTGGCAGGCAGCCATGGATGCCGAGATGGCATCCTGGAAGTCCACAAGCACCTACGTCGACGAGGTTCCTCCACCTGGGGCGAACATAGTCGATGGCATGTGGATTCTTAGGGTGAAGCGGCCGCCGGGTTCTCCGCCTGCCTTCAAGGCGCGTTACGTTGCTCGAGGCTTCAGTCAGCAACAGGGGGTTGACTACTTCCAGACCTTGTCCCCCACCCCGAAGATGACTACTCTTCGGGTGTTGCTGCACGTCGCTGCTCAGTGTGACTACGAGCTGCACTCTCTGGACTTCAGCACTGCTTTCCTGCAGGGCAGGCTGCACGAGGAGATCTGGCTGCGCCGCCCACCTGGCTTCACTGGGTCGTTTCCTGCAGGTACCCAGTGGAGCCTCCGCCGGCCAGTCTACGGTCTCCGCCTGGCGCCTCGTGAGTGGCACGACACACTGAGGACTACACTTGCAGCTCTTGGGTTTGCTCCTTCTACTGCTGACCCGTCGCTGTTTCTACGCACCGACACCTCGCTGCCGCCGTTCTACGTCCTCGTGTACGTCAACGACCTTGTCTTTGCCACTGCTGACACTGAGGCACTGACCCTTGTGAAGTTGGAGCTGCAGAAGAGACACACATGCACTACCCTGGGTGAATTGCGCAGCTATCTTGGCTTGCAGATCACCCGGGACAGAGCTCGGCGCACCATTACCCTGACTCAGTCACACATGGTGCACCAGGTCCTTCAGCGTTTCGGCTTCCAGTTCTCCTCGTCACAGCTCACTCCTCTGTCTACCAGCCACTCGCTCTCAGCTCCACCTTCGGACGAGTTCGTAGAGCCGAGTGGTCCGTACCCAGAGCTTGTGGGTTGCCTCATGTACCTGATGACGTGCACTTGACCGAACCTCGCGTACCCTCTCAGCCTCCTGGCTCGCTACGTGGCTCCCGGTAGGGACCGAAAGGTGCACTGGGATGCTGACTCGGCTACGCAGCGGTCGTCACAGGTTTACACCTTCAGCCTTGGCTCTGGCTCTATTTCCTGGCGGTCTACCCGCTCGTCTTCGGTTCTCAGCTCGAGTTGTGAGGCTGAGATCTACGCCGGGGCCATGGCTGCACAGGAGCTACGCTGGCTCACCTACCTGCTGACTGACTTGGGAGAGCAGCCTCATTCGCCTCCAGTTCTGTACGTAGACAACAAGGCCATGATTGCCTTGTGTCAGGAGCACAGACTGGAGCACAGAATGAATTACATCGCTCTGCGATACTTCCTTGCTCGAGAGTTGCAGCAGCGTGGCCAGATTCGTCTTGCGTACATGGCCACTAGGGCCAACACTGCTGATATATTCACCAAGGCACTTCCGCCTGGTGATCATCAACGCTTCTCTACTGTGTTAGACCTTGTGCCTACTTTGCCTCACTTGCTTACTGCTTGACTTGCTTGTACTGTGATCTATATATATACCTGCATGCTTTCACTTGCTAGGGTATGATCACTGTATTGTTTGTTCTCTTTTATATAACTCTGCATGTGAACTGGCCTTGTGGCCCTTTGCTTGTGCTCGGACTGTGTGGTGACTTTGTGATCCACCCTGAGCTTGCTTTGCTTTTCTTGACTCGTCTTGTGACCACTTGTTCTCCCCCACTTGCCTATGGGGGTGTGTCAAACTTATGTAAAGCTTACATTGTGTAGGCTGTAGTGGGGTAGCCCATGAGGGGTACAACCCAATTAGGGTTAGTACTTGTACCCAACTTCTGCTCAATGCATCCATCCTCATTCGTTCTTTCTGACAGGGGAATGTCCTTGGTGAACTCCCCTTCTGGAATCTGTGTCAGTGCGTCAAGATCGTAGAGTAACTTGAGTGTCTCTTCGGGGGTAGAGGTCTGATTGTGGTCGGTTGGGGGACCAACGTTGGACATGTCGACGTCGGCCATGCGGCCGCTCGTAGTTTGCTATACCGTCGATTGTGTTTGAGGTAAAGGATGGACGACCAGAGACGGTACTGAGTCGCGGGTGCGGTGTACACCCGATGAGTTGCTCATGCGTCTTTGTCGGATTCTCTCTCAAGTGCTTCTAACTCACCGGCGAGCTCGAGGCGTTCCAGCTGCGCTTTGATGTCGGCGTCTACAGAGTCGGCAAGGGGTGGGATGGGTTGCGGCTGTTGGGCTCTAGGCCATCCTCTGGCCATGCGTCGCCGACCTAGTTAGTTTCTGTCGTCCCGTCTTGCTTGGTCGGTAGAGCTGTTGATACTATGCCGAGATGTTGCCCTAAAACATCCGACGTCGACGTCGACGCGTTCTGGCCGTTCGGTTACCTAAACACCGACCTGAGTAGTGTATGCCAGGTAGACGCTACCGGTGCCGACGTGATCGATTGGTCGGCGCACGAGTAACCCACACTCGTGAAGATATCTGGGGAGCGGAAAATTCTAAGTGCAAGAGAGAGCAGGAGGGAACGCAGGAACGGACAAGGGAATGAGCACCAGCGCAAGGTCACGGAGGGGTATGGTCGTGAGCGACTCCGATTTTGCCGCGCTTCACGCAACCCCCTATGCTTGTGCCGCTATGCATGTGTTCTCGTGCGGCGGCGCAGTGTCCGACGTGTCACGAGCCATGCATGGCTAATGGGTCGCCGCGCTGCACTCAAGGGGCGTAAGCCTGGGCACGTCCACGGTGGAATGTGCGTGCGTTACGTGGCGTGGGCCCATCATTAATGCCTCTCTGCAGAAAAGCCGGCATGCCGACTTCCATGGCCTAAGAGCCCGGGATTATTGAAGAGCCGCGTGGCAAGCCCAACGTGAGCCCCTCGTGGCCGGCGCCGACTTCCTTTGGGTGTGTCTTTAGATTCCTTTAACCTAGATAGTGTTAAGGCACTAACCGATGGTGCCGCGTGGCTCGGATTAGGCTGTTGGATCCTTAGTCCACACCGACATGGCGAGCAGCTCGCGATGCCAGACAACTGTAACATTTTTTTACTGTCAGATTTTCGCCGCGTGGATCGGCCACCGACAAATTTGGGCGCGCAGTCGAGTTCCCGCGCTGAAATCGCAGCTCGACGTGGCGTGCTGTGAGTTTTTGTCCGCTGAGATGTCCTTCTCGGGTTTCTCTCAGCGAAACCCGAGGTCGTCAGATTGTCGACAATCCCGAGGGCTCCAGGGGCCCAGAGGTCTGCCATTTCGCCCCAGTTTGCCACTCGGAGTCGTCAGGTGTTCGTCGATCCCGAGGGGGGCCCTTGTCCTATCGAAACCGCGAAATTGGGCGGCATTTTTCGGCCGCTGAGGTATACCATCCCGTTTGGACCAACAGGTGGTTCCTTCCTTGCATGCAGCAGAAACGGATGGCCCAGCTTGGGCCATCCAAGATGCTGAAGTTGGCCTGTTCACGGCATGTACCACAAGCGACACGGTATACAACCGTGATGCTGTGGAACGGTGCCAGTGCAGGGCATGTGAGTGGGCGGCCCATGTAATTACGAGAAACTGCCCAATCACCTTGCAGCCTGCCAGATTTCCAAGACAGCACGCCAAATTGTTGTGCGACCCGAGTTACAGTCATGTATAGAAAAAAAAACCGTTCCCGTGATTGATGCTGACAACGAAAACTTTTCAGCGAATTTTTGACCAATGAATTGAATCCACGCATTTTCAGCAACAAGACTCGGTTCGTTAGTGTTGTTTCGAATCAGTGTTGGTACATGAAACTTGCCTGAAAAATCAGTGTTGGTACAAGATACTTGCCTGAAAAATCAGTCATTACATCTAAAAAAACGCTTTCCAATCAGCCTTAGGCCCCAAAAAAGCCTGGAAAAAAGTTTTTCAAGTGCAAATCAGCGTTTTTTTCCTGACTTCTGCGGGCCTGGACACCATTACACATAGCTGGGAAAAGCCTGACCAAAGCGTTTGTCAAACACTTCAAATGGAACACAATCCTTTACAGGTTCATAAAGAAAAATTACATTACAGCACATCAAAGGCAACAGGCCTTGTAATGGAGCCAGCGAGAATCATACACGACACTATTTACACTTGAGATCTAAGTGAGCACCTGAAGGAGCATCTTATTGATTGAGAGGACACTCGTGTGACCAGTGAAACGGATCACCACATGTGTAACACCCAGCATCGCCACCCCTCCCACCACCATCACCAACACCAGCACCTTGAGTCAACTCACTAGACCGTACAAAGCCCATGCTCTCACCAGTCGCCCCAACCACACGCCTCCCTCCCCCTTGCCCCACTCTGCTGCTGCTTCTCCCACCCCCACCACCCCTTCCTCTGCCGCCCCCTCCCCTCTGTGGCCCCACACTTCCCTGCCTCCCCCTTCCACCCCTCTGCTGACCCTGAGCGTTGCTTCGGCCCGACCTGGTGGTTCCACCTGCTGCCGCACCTCGGCCCTGGGTCCCTCTCCCCGAGCCTGCACCCGAGGCTCGGCCCGAGCCACGGGCTGTCCGTGGCGGTGGAGTTGATGCAGAGGTGGTGGGAGGGTTTCGGAATGGAGGAGCGGAGGAGGGGCGAGCACCAGCGAATGGTGGTGCGTGTGATGGTGGGGGAGCGGGAGGGCGGGGGTGAGAGGCGATGGAGGGGCGGGATGAACCGCAAGCTTCTAAAAGGTCCTTGAAGTCTGGGTTGCAAATGATGCACACTGTAAAGGGGATGGCGGGTGGGGTGAGGTTGAATGAGGTCTGTTTTTTTCTCACACGTGCTGCTGACCTTCTAACCTTACCTGCTTGCTAATGCACACCACCCCCCTCACACCACCCTCACACCACCCCCCTCACACACCACCTCCCTCACACCACCTCCTTCCCACCACCCCCCTCACACCACCTCTCTCCCACCACCTCCCTCACACCACCTCCCTCCCACCACCCCCCTCCCACTACCCCCCTCCCACCACGTCCCTCCCACCACCTCCCTCACCCCACCTCCCTCCCACCACGTCCCTCACCCCACCTCCCTCACACCTGCCTCACCTGCTTGTTGCACGGGGTCAAACTGGGGCGGGACTTCAGAGCGGCGAAAGCGCAGATTGCGGCACGAAAGGGGGCCTGCAGGGATGTTCATAGACTGCGATCTCATAAGTTACACGAAACCCTGTGAAAGCTAGAGTGAGCAGAGAGGTATTTGTAGGAGAAACTAGTGGAATCATAGATCGAGGCATGCGATGGGGGAGTGGTGAGGAGAGATGGAGGAGTGCGGGAACACTGCAAATTGCAGTGGGAGGAAATCACTTCTGAGAATTCTCGAAGTGATTTCAACATGCTCGTGCACAGTGCAGGCCAGGGGATCAGCAGGGGCTGGATGGGACGAGAGAACAAGCAGCAATGCGCTTGCAGAGAATCCCCTATGACCATGTAGGTTCGACACACACGGAGCGAAAAGGGATGGTGGGTGGGGGTTGGGTGGAGGGAGATAGGGAGTGTTGAAAGCGTTACCTGGGCGACAGTTAGGGCAGTGTGAGTCAGCAAGGGTGGCCTCAACCAGAGCAGATGGCATCCACACGGCCTCTCTGCACTGCGAGGGGAGGTGAAGGGGGGTGGCAGGGGGCGTGTGGAGGGGGGAGTGTGGGGGCGGGAGTGTGGAGGGGGCAGTGTGGAGGGTAGTGGTGGATGACTTAAATGTCGACTCAAGAGTGGCTCCCACCAGAGCAGACGGCATCCACACAGCCTCTCTGCACTGTGAGGGGGAGTGGGTGGGAGGTGAAAGGAGTGGGGGAAGTAGGGTAGGAGTGAGAGCGGGGGAGTGGGGGGCAGGTAGGGGTGAAGTGACTTTTGAGTAGTCTCAAAAGTGGTATCGGCCAGAGCAGACGGCATCCACAGCCTCTCTGCACTGTGAAAAAAAAGAGTGGGTAGAGGTGGGATTGAGGGTAGAGGTGGGAGTGAGGGTAGAGGTGGGAGTGAGGGTAGAGGTGGGAGTGAGGGTAGAGGTGGGAGTGAGGGTAGAGGTGGGAGTGAGGGTAGAGGTGGGAGTGAGGGTAGAGGTGGGAGTGAGGGTAGATGTGGGAGTGAGGGTAGAGGCGGGAGTGAGGGTAGAGGTGGGAGTGAGGGTAGAGGTGGGAGTGAGGGTAGAGGTGGGAGTGAGGGTAGAGGCGGGAGTGAGGGTAGATGTGGGAGTGAGGGTAGAGGCGGGAGTGATAGGGGTAGATTTAGGAGTTGGGGGTAGAGAGCAGGGGAAGAGGGGGTTTAAGTGGGACGAGGCTGTCTGACCAGGTTGACAAAGGACTCACGGAGGGCTTGTTTTGACGGAGGGGAGGACGGAAGAAAGAGGAGAGGGTGGGAGGAGGCTGTCTGACACAGCACAATAAAGCGCCTCAAGCCATCCTCTTGCACGAATACCAGTGCTCTTGTATCCTGCATGTATCTCTTGCACGAATACCAGTGCTCTTGTGTCCTGCATGTATCTCTTGCACGAATACCAGTGCTCTTGTATCCTGCATGTATCTCCTCACGCTCGGGTAGAGCTGGCCACCCAGCCAGACCTGGTTTGGGTGGGTTGGGTGAACAGTTAGGAACCTAGCTGGGTTTGGGAATCCAACATTGGCTCAATAATTTGGCCCTTAAGATTAGGCTGGAAGATTAGGATGAGGCAAAAACTCATGGTGTTCACCAAGACTGATGTTTCCCCCAGCCTATTTCCCAGCCTATTTCCCAGCCTATTTCCCAGCCTATTTCCCAGCCCAACTTATTAGTGAAGGCCAACAAGGTTGCAAGCAGTTCCAATTCTTGATTCCAACACCCTATGTATACCTCCCTCCAATTCTAATATAACGAGAATTTCTTCCTCTCGTTCGCGGTTTCTAGACATCTCAAAGCATTTCTTCCTCTCGTTCGCGGTTTCTAGCACCTCTACCAGGCAGCAGAAGCTCTTCAAAGAAGGAAAGAAATGCCTGCGCACTCACCCAGCCTTGCATGAGGAATTGCCTCTTGAGAATGCCAGCCATCAGCCCGTACCGTGCACAGATTTAGCCATGCGACGCACCATTCGCTCATGCACACATGCGGCATCCGCCTGTGGAACACACGTGCATTGACGGAAGCAAGAAGAGTGGGTGGGAACTCACAAGTGGAAACCCGGAGCATCCTGCCATGAAGCTGCCGCCCTGATTGCACACGGGAGCACGGGAGGAGCATGGGGAGAGAATGGATGGGAGGATGGAGAGGGAAGGGAGGATGGCAGACGGAAAGAGATGTGAGATGGCGAAAGAAAGGAAGAACGTGGGGGAGGTATAGAGACTGATTAGTGGAACAATGAATGGAAGGAAGGGAGAAAGCGAAACCTCTGACTTAACCCACAAAAGCGCACGGGTCTGGTAGTCATATAGAACATCAAAACATGAAAGACAGAGATGGTGGGGAGAAGGAAGGGGACAGGGAGGGCGAGAGGGAAGAAAAGGTGGGGTTGCTGTGCGAGAACAAGAGCAGAGTCGCGGCACTTGGCTGACATGACAAGGTCATTTCATAAGAGGAAGACCAAAGCTGCAGCGCCGGCACTTTGTACCTGGCTGGCTGGCAACCAACGACTCCCACTGGTCGCTCCATTCACCCCTCCTCAAATCCGCCCCCCACTCACTCACTGGTCGGCAGTCGCTCTGCCTGAGTATCAGGTGGCCTTTGATTCGACTCTAAGACAGACTCACTAATCGCTGTTTGAAACTCACTGGTCGCTGTTTCAACACCAGGTGGGAAGTGTGGCATTTGGGGCACGAGGTCGACTCGACATTGACTCACTCACCGGTCGTTGCTTGAGAACAAGGTGGGAAGTGCGGCACTTGGGGCATGGCCCCATCGGCCCCACCACCTGCCCCCCTCCCCCTCCCCCTCCTCCCCCCCCCTCCCCCTCCTCCTCCACCCTGTCCTCCCCCTCCACCCGCTGCTGGGTTGGTTCTGTGGGAGTGCAGAGTGAGAAGGAAACCAAATGGTGGCAATACTGCATGAGTGAGAGAACGGCCTGAACCCGATCAAGCATTCAATCTTTTTGGTTGAATCGGGGCTCACTTGTCACAGCAAGTGCCTCAAAATTCGATCAAGAATGCAAGCAACCGGGCAACATGATGATAAGCTCTGATGACATCGAGACTGACCTCTGAAAAAAGACTTGTAGGGCGTGTCAAAGGGCTCTGGCTGGCCCGGGGCTCACCTGTCAAAGAAGAGAGCCAACGCATCAATCAGCTTCTGCTGCTGCTCCCTCGCCTGCAAGTAAACCATTTGGGAGTAACCGGCGCAGTGGAAACAGCAGAGGGGTTGTGAAGTGAGCAAGATGAAGCGAAAAGAGTAGAGAGATCTGGGAGATGAAGCGAGGTGACGAGGAACGACGGGGAAGAGAGCTAGTGTGATGGAAAGCAGTGTCTTTTGGCCTGTGTGTTGGGGGAAGAGAGCAATGCTGCGCCAAGGAGTGTTTTAAATCCGTTATAAAAACAGATCAATACATGGTATATACACGACGGCAACCACCGAGTATATTTGATCTGTGCAGACCTAATCACCCGAACTAGTGCCTTTTTAATGTTGATCAAAGCGCCTGCTATGCCAAATGTCCAATGGTTTTATGCCTTTCACGCAGATGGTTCAGTCATATATCTATAGGAATCCCCTCTGCCCAAGGGATACTACCAGACATTCATGTACCCCGTATATGAAACATCCACGTTATGAGTACACTCACGTCCATAAACGCGGCCTTGGTCGCCCAGAGCGTGTCTGCCAGCACCTGCGCCTTGCTCTTGCGCCCCTCACTCACCAGCCGCATGTCCCCAACCCCAAGCACTCACAAACCAAGGCAAACAACCATACTGCATACACACTCACGTCCATAAACGCGGCCTTGGTGGCTCGGAGAGTGTCTGCCAGCACCTGCGCTTTGCTCTTGCGCCCCTCACTGACCAGCCGCATGTCCCTCTCCATCAGCGCTCTCAGGTGCGGCTTCCACAGCTCGTACCCCATGTTGTCGTACCCCAACACCAGTGCCTCGCCCTGTATTAAGCAATATGAAAAGGATATAGGATTTGCACACAGATCTGCATTAAGGTGCGGCTTCCACAGCTCGTACCCCATGTTGTCGTATCCCAGTACCAGCGCCTCGCCCTGTATCAAGGAGTACGAAACAAATTTAGGTTTTGCACAAGGCTGAGGTGTGCACAGCTCGTACCCCATATTGTCGTACTCCAGTAACATCACCTCGCCCTGGAAGACGGAAATAGATAAGGAATGGAGGGAGCTATGGTGGTGCATGGGAGACGCATCGGCAACACGGCCTGTGCCATGCGCCAGAAAAGCACACAGCTAGAATCCCAATACCAGTGCCTCGCCTAGCAGAAAGGGTCACAATGGAATGAATGAAACGGTAGGCAGGCGGAGATGCACCCACACAGTTCAGTTCACACCCCACAACACAACCAGAGCCTCGCCCTGCGGAAGCAGTAGAAACGGGAAGAAATGGAAAGGAATATGAAATCACAAGTCCACCAAAAAGCACCACCATACTACAAGCTCCTTATCTCCAGCGCCAAATCACAAGGGGCGTGGGCTTGTAGCGGATGCTGGCGTTCCCGGTGGCATAGCAGTAGCAGCCTCTTGAAGAGGCTGGGCTCATACATCAACTCAACAGCACTGCAGAACCACATCATGCTAACTCATAAATAAACTCATATCTCGATTGCTAACTCACAAGAGGCGTGGGCTTGAAGCGGATGTTGGCATCCTTGGTGGCATAGCAGCGGTCCAGCAGCTTCTTGATGTGGTCATGCATCGTGGCGTCTGTTCCGATGCCCGCCTGCCCATTGGGTTGGATAAAACGGGAGTAGACAGTACAAACAATACACAGCAGCTTCTTGTGGCGCCCATGTAATCATTATCCGCCCACCTACCCACCCACCCACCCACCCACCCACCCACCCACCCACCCACCCACCCACCCACCCACCCACCCACCCACCCACCCACCCACCCACCCACCCACCCACCCACCCACCCACCCACCCACCCACTCACCTTGTTCATCCACCTTACCAACCCAGCTCATCCGCCCACCCACCCACCCACCCACCTTGTTCATCCACCTTACCAACCCAGCTCATCCGCCCACCCACCCACCCACCCACCCACCTTGTTCATCCACCTTACCGACCCAGCTCATCCGCCCACCCACCCACCCACCTTGTTCATCCACCTTACCGACCCAGCTCATCCGCCCACCCACCCACCCACCCACCTTGTACATCCACCTTACCAACCCAGCTCATCCGCCCACCCACCCACCCACCCACCCACCTTGTTCATCCACCTTACCGACCCAGCTCATCCGCCCACCCACCCACCCACCCACCTTGTTCATCCACCTTACCAACCCAGCTCATCCGCCCACCCACCCACCCACCCACCTTGTACATCCACCTTACCAATCCAGCTCATCCGCCCACCCACCCACCACCAGGCCCTGTCTGCCCGCCCACCTACCCTCCTTCCTGCTTGGCCGCCCGCCGCCCGCGCGCCCGCTCGCCCGCCCTCCTACCCAGCCATCCACACAGTCACCCACCCACCCGCTCGCCCGCCCTCCTACCCAGCCATCCACACAGTCACCCACCCACCTGCTCGCCCGCCCTCCTACCCAGCCATCCACACAGTCACCCACCCACCCGCTCGCCCACCCTCCTACCCAGCCAGCCACACAGTCACCCACCCACCCGCATTCCTGTCAGAACAGCAACTCAGCAGTGGACAGTGAGCGATGGGAAGCCCTTCAATTTCCATGTGAGTCAGCTCAGGCTGCCTCTTAGGCTTTCAGCCACCAGTCATCACACACCACCATATCCGCCCACCCACCCATTAACCCACCCTGTCCATCCACCTTACCTTACAGCGTGTCCTCCCACCCGCCTGCCCGCCCACCCACCCACCCTCCCACCACCCACCTACTCAGCCGCCTACCCACCTTGTCCATCAGCCCCAGCAGGTCAGCTTCAGAGAGCAGCGGCGGAGGTTCGGTGCGTCCCGACCTGAGCTCGAGGTCTGTGGGGGTGAACTGCTGGCCGGTCTGGAAGGCCGGCAGCGTGTGTGCGCCCCAGGAGTCGTAGCGGTAGACGTCCAGGTAGTTGCGCTGTGGGGGGGGGGAGAGGAGGAGGGGAGGGGAGGAGGAGGTGATGATGAATGAGGTGTGGTGTATGTGAAGGAAGGTGGTGTCAGATTATGCATGACTCCTAGAAGATTCAAAACGTCTCCGAACTTGTCTGGCTGTGTGCGCGCCTCAGGAGTCATACCTACCACATTGGTAGTTGCACAGGGGGAGGAAAGGAGGAATAAAAAAAAAAACATACAAAAAAGAAAAACCGGAAAAGATAGGAGGAAATCTGACAGAGGATGTTAGAAGAGAGAGAATTGATACATTGAATAATGAGCCAAGAGGCTCTTTAGTACAAACAATGAGCAAGAGAGAGATGAGAGGGAAGCTTACCCTATTGGCCAATAAGTTGGCCAATGGGTGAGCTTGCTTGTGACCCAAGCAACCACAAATGTGTGTTGGTTGGGATTGGTTGAGCTAAGGACCAATCCCAACCAACCACAAAATGTGGTTGGAGGGTACACTAAGCAACCCCCCAATTTATAAATGTGCTACACTTCTAGCCTATGTATGTTGTATGAAATATGAAATTACAACAGAGGAAGGGAAATTTTATGAGAACAATTAACAGGCAGGCCACACAAGGGGAGGAATGCCTGACAAGGGCTTTCAGACGCATAGCTGTGTGCTCCGACTTCCAGTCAGAAACACGAGCAACCGTAGTGTCCCTCACAGTGTCCCCTCAGTGTCAGTGGCAGCTCACCGCAGTGATCATGAGTCCCCTCGCATTGAACGCCTCCCCCGCGATATCAACGGTCACAATCGTCTCAAATCCCACCGCTGGCTGCGATACCGTCGCCAGGAAGTGCCTCACCACAAGCTCGTACAGGCGCTGAGTGGCGGTGGGGCCGAGCGGGAGGGAGTAAGGTCAAAGAAACAGGGGGAAGAATGAAAAAGAAGGCGCTGCTGCTTTGGAGTCTTTTTTAGAATAATCGAAAGGAGCACGGCTGCCATGCGGTGCCACACCACGAGCTCGTAGGGGGGCTAAGCGGAGGTGGGGAGAGGGGAAGAGGGAGGGAAACGAGGAGGGGCAGGGAGAGAGGTGGAGGGGTAAGGGTAGGAGAGGGAGGTTGGTTGGCAGGAGCAAAAATGTTTTGAGTGGATTAGGGATTATCGTCCCCACCACTGGCTGTGAATGAGGCATGCCTGAAGAGAATGAAGAAGTTGCACCGTTCACTTAAGGATCTCTGAGGATTGTTCCACATGAGATAATTCTACCAGGCACTTATATCCTTGCGAAGTTGTGATCCGCGACTGACAGCTCCAGCTGGCCTCGTAGATCGTCCTTGCGAGGTGAGGTGGATGAATGGGCCGCCCCAAGGATCTTCAAATAAGACCCACACCTCACATACCTGGCACTTCAATAATCGATTCCATTCCAAGGCACTTTGATAATCGATTCCATTCCAAGGCACTTCGATAATCGATTCCATTCCAAGGCACTTCGATAATCGATTCCATTCCAAGGCACTTCAATAATCGATTCCATTCCAAGGCACTTCGATAATCGATTCCATTCCAAGGCACTTCGATAATCGATTCCATTCCAAGGCACTTCAATAATCGATTCCATTCCAAGGCACTTCGATAATCGATTCCATTCCAAGGCACTTCGATAATCGATTCCATTCCAAGGCACTTCAATAATCGATTCCATTCCAAGGCACTTCGATAATCGATTCCATTCCAAGGCACTTCGATAATCGATTCCATTCCAAGGCACTTCGATAATCGATTCCATTCCAAGGCACTTCGATAATCGATTCCATTCCAAGGCACTTCAATAATCGATTCCATTCCAAGGCACTTCGATAATCGATTCCATTCCAAGGCACTTCGATAATCGATTCCATTCCAAGGCACTTCGATAATCGATTCCATTCCAAGGCACTTCGATAATCGATTCCATTCCAAGGCACTTCGATAATCGATTCCATTCCAAGGCACTTCGATAATCGATTCCATTCCAAGGCACTTCGATAATCGATTCCATTCCAAGGCACTTCGATAATCGATTCCATTCCAAGGCACTTCGATAATCGATTCCATTCCAAGGCACTTCGATAATCGATTCCATTCCAAGGCACTTCGATAATCGATTCCATTCCAAGGCACTTCGATAATCGATTCCATTCCAAGGCACTTCGATAATCGATTCCATTCCAAGGCACTTCGATAATCGATTCCATTCCAAGGCACTTCGATAATCGATTCCATTCCAAGGCACTTCGATAATCGATTCCATTCCAAGGCACTTCGATAATCGATTCCATTCCAAGGCACTTCGATAATCGATTCCATTCCAAGGCACTTCGATAATCGATTCCATTCCAAGGCACTTCGATAATCGATTCCATTCCAAGGCACTTCGATAATCGATTCCATTCCAAGGCACTTCAATAATCGATTCCATTCCAAGGCACTTCGATAATCGATTCCAATCCAAGGCAGTTCGATAATCGATTCCATTCCAAGGCACTTCGATAATCGATTCCATTCCATCATCCCACACCTCACATACCTGGCAATCCGGGCTCCAGTTGGACTCGCCGTGCGGGGATGCCCTCGTGGGTGGATGGGGGAATGGGCCTCGAGGCTGTCAAAGCAAGGTATATCCCGCGGTGGCTGATTCAGGGGTTGTTGCTCTCTCTCTCTTCCCAAGCTTATGGATTTCTGTAGGTTAAGGGGTTGTGTCAAATTGCCATCCTCATTGTAACCTACATCAATCCTATAAGCGTAGGATAGAGATAGCCACCCAAACTTAGTTTGGGTGTAGAACTAGGGCTAACCCTAGTTGGGGGTTGGAACTCAAACCTTGGCCCCCAAGGTTGGGTTGGGAATTATTGGTCCCCCCAATAATGTTGAACCACTTGGTCAACAATATTGGTCCCCCCAATAATTCCTCAACCCAACTTATTGGTGGGGGCCAATAATGTTGGCTTGGTTCCAACCACCCCCCCTCCCCCTAGCACTACTATGTATACCCCCATCTCTCCTAATGGAATCAATGGTTCTTCCTCACGTTTTCTCACAGTGATATGGCCAGTCGTGCTGCCGTATGTCCAAGATAAGAATGGGGAAGGCACACGGCACACCTGCATGACCTCATAGGCGATGTTCTCGCCCTCCCGGTCACAGTCCAGCCACAACACCAGCTGCTCGCTGCGCCTCGCCTCCTCCCTCAACGTCACCTCCAGTGCCGCCTTGTCCTACATATGAATGGGGGAACGGGGAGGTGGAGGGGGATGGCAGGTGACTATGGAAACTTGGAAGACAAGGCAACACCTCCAGTGCCACCTTGTCCTACAGATGAATGGGGGAACGGGGAGGTGGAGGGGGATGGCAGGTGACGATGGAAACTTGGAAGACAAGGCAACACCTCCAGTGCCACCTTGTCCTACAGATGAATGGGGGAACGGGGAGGTGGAGGGGGATGGCAGGTGACGATGGAAACTTGGAAGACAAGGCAACACCTCCGGTGCCACCTTGTCCTACAGATGAATGGGGGAGCGGGGAGGTGGAGGGGGATGGCAGGTGATGATGGAAACTTGGAAGACAAGGCAACACCTCCAGTGCCACCTTGTCCTGCAGAGCAATGAAGGGAGGCGATGCGAAGATGTGGAGAGGACACACAGGAATGAGAATATGGGTAAGGAAGGGGTGGTTGGTGAATGGAGGAGAAGGTGCTATAGGAATGGGGCCTGAAGGCTTGACGCTTGGTGCTTGTTGCTCCGGTTAAACAAAAAAACAGTTTTGTTAGCAGCACTTGAATGCATTGGAAGCACATGCACGTACAGAAGCAGATGCTCGCACAGAAGTGCCGCACGTATTCTAGATGTGGTTTCATTGTACGTAAAACCGTTTGATCTTCTTCCATGTGCAGAGCTACATCGAAGGCGACGCACAGGTGTTAATGTTGCTCACCATTTTGCTCGACGTCTCAAGTGCTGGAGAAGCGTTCAGAGCACTAGAATTTGGTGCAAATGTCAACACGTGCGAGCTAAGTCCTGCCAGGCGAGATGTTCGGTTGAACGAACTAACGACGCTGCTGGTCCTTTCTGCCGAACATCTCGCCTGGCGGGACCAAGCTCGCACGTGTTGTCATTTGCACCAAATTCTAGTGCTCTGAACGCTTCTCCAGCGTTTGAGACGTCGGGCGAAATGGTGAGCAGCATTAACACCCGTGCGCCGCCTTCAATGTAGCTCTGCACATGGAAGAATATCAAACGGTTCTACGTACAATGAAACCACATCTAGATTACACTGAAACCACATCTAGATTACAATGAAACCACATCTAAATTACATACGACCGTGTGTGTACCCTCCCACCTGTGGTTATATAGCGTTACACCCTCCCCCATGAGGGTCGTCCTTGTACCCTCCCACCTGCAGTATGGCCCTATAGACAGGCAGCTGCAGAGAGTAGCAGGTGTGGCACTTCCTGAAGGGCATTCCATACACAGCCAGCCAGACCCTCCCATCCCACCAACGGTATGGCCTTGTGCACTGGCGCGTCAAAGAGCTGCAGGAGGGCACATGCGTGCCATTTCCACAAAGAGGTTTCCATTATCCATACCAATTCATGCCTGGATTTAACAAACGGCCAAGCAGATGCCCCGTCACTGACGTCATCGCCATGTCGCATGGCTGCCCGTTCATCATGTAACTGACGCAGAGAGATGGTATGGGATGAATGTGGAGGGGGGGAGGGTATACAGAATAATAGAAATGAATGGCATGGTCAAAGGGGCTTTTGTGTGGCCATGTCGGCGATGTCGCACGGCCGGTTGCTCATTGTGTAGCTGATGGGGGGTGACGGGCCGGAGAACGGGGGGGTAGGAGAGTACATCACATCACATCATCAAGTCATCTGGCATGTGGCCATGTCGCATGGATGGTTGCACATCGTGTAGCTGATGGGGAGAGGTGCGATAGGATGTATGTGGAGGGAGAGAGGGTGTAGTTAAGGAACGAATGGCCGGGCTGAAGGGGCTTCCATGTCGCATGGCTGGTTGCACATCCGTGTAGCTGGCGTGGGGAAAGGGAGGAGGGGGAGACAGGAGGGGGAAGGGGTAGGGGGAGGGGGGAGGGGGAGACACGAGGGGGAGTGGGGGAGAGTGACGTCCCATGGCTGGTTGAATCTCATCATCAATTACCTGTTCAATGAAGAGTGGCAGGATTGATCGGATGTGGTTGCAACGCAAATTCAGGCGGCTTTTGAGAATCTAAAAAACCGCATGCAGTGGGAATGAGCTGATAAGAAATAGCAGGATTGTTTTGGAAAGCGTAACAGCAGGCGGTCATGTCTAAGTCCCGCGGTGACTGACGGCTGGAGGTTGTCTCACGGCTGCTTGTTCATCTGGCGGCTTATAACGCGGATAGCCAAGTTGTTCGTTCATAAGAAGGTCGAATGGCATGGGCATGGGGAATCGCATGGCGTCTCATCCTGCATCGCCGCTCGTCGCTCACGTGAATTCGAAGATGCGGTTGTACACGGACCGCCCCTCGCGTGACCTCACCCCGCCGCCGCCGTACCGCGCGAGGATCTCCGCCACGGCGCGTGCGACGGACGGCTTCTCCGCCACGTTCAGCACGCGGATGGCGCGCCCCCCCGGCATGGCAGCGATCTCTTACTGGCCGCCTCAAACGATCAGCTCTCGGATTGGCTCCTATTCCCCTCGTTCAGCACGCGGATGGCGCGACCCGCCGGCATGGCGGAAACGAAACGAGTCCCCTCAAACGATCAGGAGGCGGATGGCGCGGCCAGCCGGCATCATGCCGTTTTTTTCTGTCGCCTTCAAATGGTCAGCACGCGGATAGGCCGGCCAGCCGGCATAGCGATTTGCTTCTGGTCGCCTAAACCGCGCTTGAGACCTCTCACAAATACCCTCACGGTCAGTGCTACGTGGATACTAGCTAATTGGCGCGGTGATCGGTTTCGCTTCGCTGACTCGCTTGGCGACTGGCTGACCTAAGTTGGCCTTGGTTGAGAAGGCTCAACTCAACCTCAAGCTCAACCTTAGGCTCAAATCTCGAAGGACCGTAATGAACCGTGCGAGAACGTCACGAAGCTCACTCAACCATAATACACGAAATTCGCTTGCCCCAGCTGCTACCCCCTACCAACAGTCATGTGACGCGGGTGGTATGAGCTGGAAGCAAATTTGACATTTGAAGTATTCGATGGCTGTTTGCACGGTTCAATACGTTAATACACGGTCAGGAACGTCTGGTTAGTTTCACCGTTTTAGACCACTGCACACCTTACTGAACTTTCACACGTCAATGTTTCAGCTTCGTGTCATGCGTGTCAAATTTGAATTCCGAAACACGTGGTTGAAGCAGGCCCCAGCAGATGACCCTTATCATCCGCCCACGGACTAAGCACTTTTTTTGTTCGCGCTCCGACCAAGGGGTGGGACTCTTATCATCAACAACAGTTACAGGATTCATACCCGTTTGCGACGGTAGGCTGGCGACCGCCACGTCATCGCTTCGTCGCCTGTCGCATCGCCATGCTCCTTTCGCGACGGTCGCATATCCACAGGAATTTTCCTTACTTTCGCGCGTGGCGACTCGAGATCGTAGGAAACGGTTGACCGTTAAACCAATCTTCGACGACACGGCTACGCGCGAGAACGGCGATCGTACCGTATGCTCGGTCGGCGCGGCTCGATTGACCATCGCGAAAAAGCTGCATTTTTGTGAACTTAGCCTATCAGTCACTTTTCTTCGTGGTGAATCCGAACTTCGTCAGAAGTTTGTCACCTTTCGCCCAAGAGAAATTACCACTCTGTGCAACAAAAGTTTTGCTATGTCTTCTGCTTCGCCAGCGAGGGACGCGGCGATGGCGGACGCGCAGGCGGAAAGTGGCGGGGGGGGTGGGGGGGATGCGCGGAGACCCGGCGGAGAGGGTGGCGGAACGGGACACTCTGAATATAGTGGCGCGGAAAGTGGGGTCTGGCGGGGAAGGGGGAACGGGAGCGGGAGGGGGAATGGGAGGGGAAGGGGCGGAAAGTGGAACACTTGGCGGAGAAATGGGGATGGGGGCGGGGGAGAGGGGTGGAGAAGAGGGCGGCGGAAGGGGTGGAGAAGGAGGATATGGAAGGGGAAAACGGTGGGGGGGAGGGGGAGGAAGGGGAAGGGGAGGAGGAAGGGGAGGGGGAGGGGTTTTAGGGGGGGGTGTGCGCATGACAGCAGGGGAGGTGGAGCGGCTGTATGGCACACCGAGTGTGACTGTAAAGGAAGTGAAGGGCGACGGGACGACTGTGATGCAAGTGAAGGTGCGTACGCAGTGAGGATCTGAAGAGTGAATTGCAAGGGGTTGGATGCGGTGCGTCAGTTTACCAGCAGCTGTAGCCACCAGTTGTAGCCACTTGTTGTAATCATTATGCGCAGCGCCATGGATGGAATGAGTCCGTTTCAATTTCTCCATTGTGTTTTGAAGGTGTACCACCTGCCATCCCATGCCATGCCATGCCATGCCATCCCATGCCATCCCATGCCGTGCCATGCCATGCCATGCCATCGCATGCCATGCAGGTTGACGGAGCACTGGCTGGCTTGTTCTCACGCAACGAGTAAGATGCATGCTCCGTACCCACGCTTTCTAACATATTTTTTCAACCGTTCATCTCTAGTTATTCACTGCCCTTCGCCTTACTGTGTGTGCATCTACACTCACCATGCACTCACCATGCACTCACCATGCACTCACTCACCATGCACTCACCATGCACTCACCATGCACTCACCATGCACTCACCATGCACTCACCATGCACTCACCATGCACTCACCATGCACTCACCATGCACTCACCATGCACTCACCATGCACTCACTCACCATGCACTCACCATTCACTCACCATGCACTCACCATGCACTCACCGTGCACTCACCGTGCACTCACCATGCACTCACCATGCACTCACCATGCACTCACTCACCATGCACTCACCATGCACTCACCATGCACTCACCATGCACTCACTCACCATGCACTCACCATGCACTCACCATGCACTCACTCACCATGCACTCACCATGCACTCACCATGCACTCACTCACCATGCACTCACCATGCACTCACCATGCACTCACTCACCATGCACTCACCATGCACTCACTCACCATGCACTCACCATACACTCACCATGCACTCACCATGCACTCACCATGCACTCACTCACCATGCACTCACCATGCACTCACTCACCATGCACTCACCATGCACTCACCATGCACTCACCATGCACTCACCATGCACTCACCATGCACTCTCCATGCACTCACCATGCACTCACCATGCACTCACCATGCACTCACTCACCATGCACTCACCATACACTCACCATGCACTCACCATATACTCACCATGCACTCACCATACACTCACCATGCACTCACCATACACTCACCATGCACTCACCATGCACTCACCATGCACTCACCATGCACTCACCATGCACTCACCATGCACTCACTCACCATGCACTCACCATGCACTCACCATGCACTCACCATGCACTCACCATGCACTCACCATGCACTCACCGTGCACTCACCATGCACTCACTCACCATGCACTCATCATGCACTCACCATGCACTCACCATGCACTCACCATGCACTCACCATGCACTCACCATGCACTCACCATGCACTCACCATGCACTCACCATGCACTCACCATGCACTCACTCACCATGCACTCACCATGCACCATGCACTCACCATGCACTCACCATACACTCACCATGCACTCACCATGCACTCACCATGCACTCACTCACCATGCACTCACCATTCACTCACCATGCACTCACCATGCACTCACCGTGCACTCACCATGCACTCACCATGCACTCACCATGCACTCACTCACCATGCACTCACCATGCACTCACTCACCATGCACTCACCATGCACTCACTCACCATGCACTCACCATGCACTCACTCACCATGCACTCACCATACACTCACCATGCACTCACCATGCACTCACCATGCACTCACCATGCACTCACCATGCACTCACTCACCATGCACTCACCATGCACTCACCATGCACTCACCATGCACTCACCATGCACTCACCATGCACTCACCATGCACTCACCATGCACTCACTCACCATGCACTCACCATGCACTCACCATGCACTCACCATGCACTCACCATGCACTCACCATGCACTCACCATGCACTCACTCACCATGCACTCACCATTCACTCACCATGCACTCACCATGCACTCACCGTGCACTCACCATGCACTCACCATGCACTCACCATGCACTCACTCACCATGCACTCACCATGCACTCACCATGCACTCACTCACCATGCACTCACCATACACTCACCATGCACTCACCATGCGCTCACCATGCACTCACCATGCACTCACCATGCACTCACCATGCACTCACTCACCATGCACTCACCATGCACTCACCATGCACTCACCATGCACTCACCATGCACTCACTCACCATGCACTCACCATGCACTCACCATGCACTCACCATGCACTCACCATGCACTCACCATGCACTCACCATGCACTCACCATGCACTCACTCACCATGCACTCACCATTCACTCACCATGCACTCACCATGCACTCACCGTGCACTCACCATGCACTCACCATGCACTCACCATGCACTCACTCACCATGCACTCACCATGCACTCACTCACCATGCATGCACTCAGTCACCATGCACTCACCATACACTCACCATGCACTCACCATGCACTCACCATGCACTCACCATGCACTCACCATGCACTCACCATGCACTCACCGTGCACTCACCATGCACTCACCGTGCACTCACCATGCACTCACTCACCATGCACTCACCATTCACTCACCATGCACTCACCATGCACTCACCGTGCACTCACCATGCACTCACCGTGCACTCACCATGCACTCACTCACCATGCACTCACCATGCAGTCACCATGCACTCACCATGCACTCACTCACCATGCACTCACCATGCACTCACCATGCACTCACCATGCACTCACCATGCACTCACCATGCACTCACTCACCATGCACTCACCATTCACTCACCATGCACTCACCATGCACTCACCGTGCACTCACCATGCACTCACCATGCACTCACCATGCACTCACTCACCATGCACTCACCATGCACTCACCATGCACTCACTCACCATGCACTCACCATACACTCACCATGCACTCACCATGCACTCACCATGCACTCACCATGCACTCACCATGCACTCACCATGCACTCACTCACCATGCACTCACCATGCACTCACCATGCACTCACCATGCACTCACCATGCACTCACCATGCACTCACCATGCACTCACTCACCATGCACTCACCATTCACTCACCATGCACTCACCATGCACTCACCGTGCACTCACCATGCACTCACCATGCACTCACTCACCATGCACTCACCATGCACTCACTCACCATGCACTCACCATGCACTCACTCACCATGCACTCACCATGCACTCACTCACCATGCAGTCACCATGCACTCACCATGCACTCACCATGCACTCACCATGCACTCACCATGCACTCACCATGCACTCACTCACCATGCACTCACCATTCACTCACCATGCACTCACCATGCACTCACCGTGCACTCACCATGCACTCACCATGCACTCACTCACCATGCACTCACCATGCACTCACCATGCACTCACCATGCACTCACCATGCACTCACTCACCATGCACTCACCATGCACTCACCATGCACTCACCATGCACTCACCATGCACTCACGATGCACTCACCATGCACTCACCTGCACTCACTCACCATGCACTCACCATTCACTCACCATGCACTCACCATGCACTCACCGTGCACTCACCATGCACTCACCATGCACTCACCATGCACTCACTCATCATGCACTCACCATGCACTCACTCACCATGCACTCAGTCACCATGCACTCACCATACACTCACCATGCACTCACCATGCACTCACCATGCACTCACCATGCACTCACCATGCACTCACCATGCACTCACCGTGCACTCACCATGCACTCACCGTGCACTCACCATGCACTCACTCACCATGCACTCACCATTCACTCACCATGCACTCACCATGCACTCACCATGCACTCACCATGCACTCACCATGCACTCACCATTCACTCACCATGCACTCACTCACCATGCACTCACCATGCACTCACTCACCATGCACTCACCATGCACTCACTCACCATGCAGTCACCATGCACTCACCATGCACTCACCATGCACTCACCATGCACTCACCATGCACTCACCATGCACTCACTCACCATGCACTCACCATTCACTCACCATGCACTCACCATGCACTCACCGTGCACTCACCATGCACTCACCATGCACTCACTCACCATGCACTCACCATGCACTCACCATGCACTCACCATGCACTCACCATGCACTCACTCACCATGCACTCACCATGCACTCACCATGCACTCACCATGCACTCACCATGCACTCACGATGCACTCACCATGCACTCACCATGCACTCACTCACCATGCACTCACCATTCACTCACCATGCACTCACCATGCACTCACCGTGCACTCACCATGCACTCACCATGCACTCACCATGCACTCACTCATCATGCACTCACCATGCACTCACTCACCATGCACTCAGTCACCATGCACTCACCATACACTCACCATGCACTCACCATGCACTCACCATGCACTCACCATGCACTCACCATGCACTCACCATGCACTCACCGTGCACTCACCATGCACTCACCGTGCACTCACCATGCACTCACTCACCATGCACTCACCATTCACTCACCATGCACTCACCATGCACTCACCATGCACTCACCATGCACTCACCATGCACTCACCATTCACTCACCATGCACTCACCATGCACTCACCGTGCACTCACCATGCACTCACCGTGCACTCACCATGCACTCACTCACCATGCACTCACCGTGCACTCACCATGCACTCACCATGTATTCACCATGCACTAACTCACCATGCACTCACCATACACTCACCATGCACTCACCATGCACTCACCATGCACTCACCATGCACTCACCATGCACTCACCATGCACTCACCATGCACTCACCATGCACACCCCTACAAGGCAGCTCACTGCCCTCACGCTTAACCCTGCCCTCACGCTTAACCCTGCCATCCCCCTCCCTTGACCGCTATCCACCGCCAAACTGCCCATTGCCACTGCTGCCGTCACCCTGCAATTGCAGCAGCTGCTGCTGCAGTGAAAGCGAGCTGAACCAACTCCTAAGATAGAGTTTCATGCTCCGTGCACTCACTCCCTCTCTCCTCTCACTTCTCCCCCTCTGTGTGGCTGTCACCATGCAGCAGTCTGAGCAGCATAGCCCAGGCGACCTCGTGTGTGGTGAATGCACCCACACACTTCAACAAGAGGACTCACCCCCATGCTGTCTTCGGTACTGCCATGCCATGCCATGTCAGGCCCATGCTTTGCGGTGCCATGCAATGCCATGCTATGATTGGTGCATGACGTAGAAGGTAGAATTCAGAGGCATCTAGAGAGGGGCAGCAGCTGAGGGGTCCCACCTGGCAATATAGGGATTTCAATATAGGGGCTTCACTCTAGGGGCAGGGCTTCACTCTAGGGGCAGGGCTTCACTCTAGGGGCAGGGCTTCATTATTGAAGCTTCACTAAGGGGCTCCAACAGAAGGGCTTCAACATTGGGGCTTCAACATAGGGGCCTCGACTATAGGGGTGGGCTTCATTATAGGGCTCCAATACAGGGGCTCCAGTATTGGGACTCCGTTATAGGGTCTTTATCGTAGGGGTTTCAATATAGGGGCTTCATTATAGGGCTTTATAACAGGGGCTTCATGATAAGGGCTTCATCATCGGGGCTTCAGTATAGGGGCGCTAACACATTGATGAGACCGCTCAACACATTGATGGGACCGCTCAACACATTGATGAGACCGCTCAACACATTGGTGCAGGTTGCCACTAATCCACCATACCGTGGCCTCTGTTTCTTCCCCCATCTCCGAGTTGACTTTTGAGTGGACTCAAAACTCAGCACAATTTCGGAGCTCCAATCGCATTGTGAATGGTCGAATGGTGCAGGCTTGCCACTCATCCTCCACTGTACCGTGGCCTCTGTCTCTTTCTTCCTCATCCCTCTCATTTCTTTCCCACTTTTTCCCCCTCGCTTGCTGTGACTCAGAGATATCTGGTGCAAGTGAGGAGGCAGCGGCAGCAGGATTGGACCTTTTTGCTACAGTGCTCGCGCAGGTGGGCGCAGCTGACAGGCCAGGTGATAGGCCAGGTGGGCTCAGGTGATAGGCCAGGTGGGTTCAGGTGGTATGCCTGGTTGGCTCAAAGCAAAATGCAAGGTGTGAGACCCAGGACTGTATGGATGACTTCGACGACGGTACAGATTTGGTGACAGTGCAGATTTGGTGACAGTGCAGATTTGGTGACAGTGCAGATTTGGTGACAGTGCAGATTTGGTGACAGTGCAGTTGTGAGGTTGTCTTCGAGTTGAGTGCACTCATTAGTCCCCTCCCCTCTCTCACCCATCTCTTCCCACCCCCGTCCCCCCTTCCACCTCGGCAGCAGGCCATCGACAGCCCGGCAGTGGGCTACTCACAGCAGCTCACTGATGCTGCTGCTGCTGCTGCTGCTGCTGCTGCTGCTGCTGCTGGCACTGCTGCTGCTGATGCTGCTGCTGCTGCTGGTAGCACTACCCGTGTCTTCTGCTCCCCCCTCTCTCGCCCTTCCCCCTTCGGCAGGCCATTGAGAGCCCGGCAGTGGGCTACTCGCACTTCCTCTCCCTCCCCCTCGCCTCGCACCGCCCGCTGGTGGCTCGCCTGCATGACTTCCGCTCCTCCGTGCTGCACTCTGTGGGCTTCCCATGCACCCACGAGCACCTCACAGCGCCAGCTGACGCTGCTGCTGGTAGCACTGCTGGTGTTGATGGTGCTGCTGGTGATGCTGCTACTGCTGCTGGTGGTGACAATGCTTCTGGTGATGCTGATGCTGGTGCTACAAAAAAGGAGGGCAAGGGAGAAGGTGTGAAGGATGATCGCGCAGTAGCAGTAGTATTTGGGGTTGGGTTTGGGGCGAGAGAAGGGAAAGAAGGCTGCGGGGAGGAAGCGGTGGAAGGGGAAGGGAGAGCATATACGAGTGGAGGAGAGGAGGGAGCAGGAGGAAGTGTGAGAAGAGGAGGGAAGAGAGTACGCGATGGTGACGATGCCGCTGCTGCTGCTGCCGATCCTGTTACTGCAGCAGTTGGTGCTGCAGTCGGTGATGCCTCTGCTGCTACAACTGCTGGTGGCGGGTCTTTGGTGTGTGCAGAAGGGGGGGAGGGTGGTGACGGAGAGAGGCCGGCAGTTGTAGGACAAGGGGGGGAGACGGGAGAGGAGAAGCCATGGGAGCATCAGCCAGGTGGTCAGAGAGTGAAGGGAGTGAAGGACAAGTATGGTGAGTGAGTGAGGTGAGTGAGTGAATAAGTGATAGTGAGCGAGTGAGTGAGTGAGTGAGGTGAGCTCATGAATGAGTCAGTGAGTGATCGAGTCAGTGAGAGAATGAGTAAGTGAGCGGTGCTTTAATATGAACCCTTGCTGTGTGACGTTCAGTCAGCTTTTTCCAACAGAAATTGCACTTGAGGAAAGGCAGTGAAGGACAAGTACGGTAAGTGTGTGAGTGATTAAGTGAGTGAGTGATTAAGTGAGTGAGTGAGTGAGTGAATGAGTGAGTGAGTGATTGAGTGAGTGAATGAGAGAGTGAGTGAGTGATTGAGTGATTGAGTGAGTGAATGAGAGAGTGATTGAGTGACTGAATGAGATAATGAGTGAGTGAGTGAATGAGAGAGTGAGTGAGTGAGAGAGTGAGTGAATGAGCGAGCAATGCTTCTGCTGTGAACCTTCCATGCGATGTTCACTCACATTTTTTCAACGTCAAATTGTCCTCGTGGGAGGCATGGCTGATTGCATGGCAGGCATGGTGCATTCACATCACTTCACTTCACTTCACTTCACTTCGCCACCATACAATCATGAACTTGCTCTTCTCTCTTCTGTTGAGTCAACTCAAAGTTCGACGCTAATTCCTCCCGTCTGCCATTCCTGCCGTCCCGTTTCCTCCCATCGATGGTGGGCCTTTCCTGCTGTCCCGCACCCTCGATATCTCATGCTCTCATGGCACATCCCACTACATAACAAACACATGATAAAAGTAGTGTTTTGAGATGTCTCAAAAGCCACGTGATAACAGTAGTGTTTTGAGTCGTATCAAAACCCTACATAACATGCACCCCTCCATCTTCATTGGCCCACCCACCTACCCCACACCCTCCCTCCCCTACCATGACACCCATCCCCCCTCACCATCCTCTTGCCCTCCCTCACCATCCTCTGGCCCTCCCTCACCATCATCTTGCCCTCCCTCACCATCCTCTTGCCCTCCCTCACCATCCTCTTGCCCTCCCTCTCCATCCTCTTGCCCTCCCTCTCCATCCTCTTGCCCTCCTTCTCCATCCTTTTGCCCTCCCTCTGCATCCCATGCCATGGCCTACTAGGTAGCATGCACCCTCCATCTTCATTAGCCCACCTACCCTACACCCTCTCCCCCCTCCCCACACACCCATCCCCCCTTACCATCCTCTTTCCCCCCGCCCTCTCCAGCCCACCCCACAGCACTGACCACCAGGGGGAGTGCATCCGTCTATCGTCATCAACCCAGCCACCTTCCACATCACGTGCACATGCTCAAGCTTTGGTCGCCCGTCCCCATGACGTGGTAGCAGCTGACCACCCCTTCCGCGCCTCACAAGTCACCCACTTTCCATGCGCCACCATCCCATCTCCCTCCCACCAACCCCACCCCACCCGACGGCCTCCAGGAGGCATGCACCCGTTCATCTTCATCAGTCCAGCCATCTCACGCCCTTCCCCCCCTTCACCATCCTCCACTCCCCTCCCCTGCCCTCACACCCCACGCCACGGCCCACCAGGGGGCGTGCATCCGTCCATCTTCATCAATCCCACCACCTTCCACCTCACCGTTCAGATGCTCAAGCTCTGGTCGCCCCTCCGTGTGCAAGCAGCCGCTGACGCCCTGCAGGTGCGCTGTGGGAATGAGGCACCCGCACTTACGCGCGTCTGAATGAACCCAAGTTGTGAGGAGAAATGAGTCATCTGTAGCTGCCACTACACGTGCCGTGCCAATGTGCATTGTCTGGTTCTTTCCGTTTCTGGTTTCACCACTCGTTGTCTTGCTAAGCGTGCCATGCCATGGTGTGTCGCCGCATCTCCCACCTCATCCCTGCATGAGGGATGATGACACGTGCTCCATGCATGCACGGCGCCGCCCCTGCATGCGTCGTCTCACTGTGCCACTCACTTGTTATCCCCCCTGTCCTTCCTGTCCCTCCTGTCCCCCATGCCCCTCCTGTGCCTTCACAGGCGGCCATGCCGAGAGCGCAAGAAGTGTTGGGCGACTCTCCTCTGGTCATTCGCCTTGTTGGCCTCGTGAGTCTCGTGTTGGGCCACGCCCCTACCTCCCTGTGTATCTGCCCACCCTCTTCCTGCACTGACTCTTGAGGCGATTCAAAAGTCACCTAGTTGCCGCGCACCTGGGACGCATCATAAGAATCTAGTCATTCGCCCATTGGTGAGTCTCGTGCCTCGACATGCCGGGATGGGATCTGTGCCATTCATGGCACATGGGGCATGCATGGCACATGGGGCACGCATGGCACATATGGGGCATGCATGGCACATATGGGGCATGCAAGCCACGTAGGGCATGCAAGCCACGAGGGGCATGCAAGCCACGTAGGGCATGCAAGCCACATGCGGCGTGCATGGCACGTTGGGCATGCAAGTCACATGTACTTCGCAAACTGGTCCTCACACCCTTGAACTTACCCCTGCTACCCAACTCGCCCCACTGTGCAGAAGTGCATGAAGGGGCATCCATCCAAGGCGCATGTGCTGTATGCTGACATGCAGGAGGTCGATGGGGGGAACCGGCTGCCTGCCGTCTGTGGTGAGATGCCACGCCATGCCATGCCATGCCATGCCATGCCGTGCCGTACCATGCCATGCCATGCCATGCCATGCCGTGCCGTGCCATGCCATGCCATGCCGTGCCGTGCCGTGCCGTGCCGTGCCATGCCACACCACGCCAGGTCTGCATTCATGAGCAAGGAGGCGAGGGGGTGAGTGAGGCAGTTCAGACAGGCAGGACCAGTCCGTTCATCCATCACTCTTACTGCCATCTTCTCCCCTCTCCCAACTCCTCCATTCCCCCATCCCAACTCCTCCATTCCCCCATCTAAACTCCCTCCCTGCCTTTCATCCAGAGGTGCTGAGGGCGGCGTGCAGGGAGGCAGGGCTGGTCACACCTAGAGACTGCCGCCAGCCTCTCAAGGTGAGTAGTGGGCTGGCAGCCGATAGAGGATGTAGCAGGCTGTGGAGAGGTGTAATGGATCAGTCATTTGGTTCATTCCGAACAGCAGGTGACTCTTCCCATCTCTCTCTTTCTCGCTGTCTACTCTCTTCTTTATTTGTCGTCCAACATCCCCTCCCACCTCCCCTCTCCTCTCTTTTCCCGTCCGTTCTTCCCCCCTTCCCCCACCCGACCTTCTCGTCCCCTTCCCAAACTTCCTCATTCCCCCGCTTCCTTTGCTCCACCACACCCCCCCACCAGCTGCACGCCACCATCATGAACACGAGCCACCGGAAAGGGTGGGTGTGGGGAGATTGGGTGGGTGTGGGGACATTGGGTGGGTGTGGGAGGGATTAGGCGTGGGAGATTGGTTGGATGCAGGTGGGTATCTGGGTTGAGTGGGGCAGGTAGGTGGGAGGTTGGTGTGTGCGGACCGGCTATGCAAGCGTGTGTTGTGCTTGACTGCGGCAAAGCAGCCAAACATCTTCTGTCCTCCCTTTACCTTCCTGCTTTAGTTCTTTCTTTCGCCTTGTCCACCTTCCTCACCCCGCACATCACATGTAACCTGCCACATGTGCCATGCATGTGCTGCACACATCACGTGTAACCTGCCACATGTGCCATGCATGTGCTGCGCACATCACGTGTAACCTGCCACATGTGCCATGCATGTGCTGCACACATCACGTGTAACCTGCCACATGTGCCATGCATGTGCTGCACACATCACGTGTAACCTGCCACATGTGCCATGCATGTGCTGCACACATCACGTGTAACCTGCCACATGTGCCATGCATGTGCTGCGCACATCACGTGTAACCTGCCACATGTGCCATGCATGTGCTGCGCACATCACGTGTAACCTGCCACATGTGCCATGCATGTGCTGCGCACATCATGTGTAACCTGCCACATGTGCCATGCATGTGCTGCGCACATCACGTATAACCTGCCACATGTGCCATGCATGTGCTGCGCACATCACGTGTAACCTGCCACATGTGCCATGCATGTGCTGCGCACATCATGTGTAACCTGCCACATGTGCCATGCATGTGCTGCGCACATCACGTGTAACCTGCCACATGTGCCATGCATGTGCTGCACACATCACGTGTAACCTGCCACATGTGCCATGCATGTGCTGCACACATCAGTTGAAACCAGAGTTTCCCGACAATCACAGCGTGCTGCTTGCCTCGCCTTGTTCGCCCTGTCCCGTTCCACCCACTCCCCCATCCCCCACCTTTCCTCTCCTTACCCTGCCACAGCCCCTCCCCCTCTCCCCCTCCTCCCCCCCGCCCCCCCTCCGCCAGGCCCCATCGCAATGCGCGGGTGCCATTTGATGCCTCCCTCATCGTGGCACAGCATGGGGACACGGAGTGGGGGGAGGTGCGCCTGGGGGAGGTACATCTGTCGCAGAGGTTCAAATTCGATGACCAGGGATACTACCACTGCTGCTCCTCGCTGCCTTTGCCCTGACCGCGCCGTTCTATAGGTTTTCTATACTGCTCCAGTGCTGCAAATACTCTTGGGTTCTGCGGCCCACATTGAAAGTCATGTTCATTAGGTTTTCAACTATTGGTAGGAAGTGAGATGTGCCATATACGTGTTTTTATGTGTGTGAGTTTTACAAAGTTGTGAATATAGAAAGTGTTGGAAACAAGTAACTTAACGCTTCTGAAGTATCGAAGTGTCGACACAAAACGGAGCGGACTACAGCGAAGAAACACACGAGTCAACAAAAGCAACCGCTGGAGGTTACGCGAAGGTCAAAGGTCGCTGACCTTTGACTTGACGAAAAGTACAGTGCGACAGCAAGGACACATAATTGGCTCGTTACCGAGCAGTTACCTGAGTCGGCACTGTATCGAACCGCAACAGCAAAAGCAGTTAAAGTAGAACTTTTCATATTCCTTTGTAATCATGTAAAAAGCTTGTATCTCTTTGCTATTATCAACTTATCTTGTTCTCACACACTAGTACAAGGTGGTTCAGCAAACTCTAATATTAAACGCTTCCGCAATTACAAATATTCCTACTTCAACCCCGATCTTAGCCTTGAAAGATCCTAAGGCCTCTTTTCAGCCCAACATGGTATGAGAGCTAACAGGGCAAGATCAATTTCCAAAATCTCTATGACAACACAAGACATGGCAACACAAAAGGAGAGGAGCTCATCTAACGGATCTCTCGGCACTACTCCTACTCCACCTCCAGCCTCTGGCCTACAGACAGAGGAAGGCACAGCAACAAGGCCAGCTGCGGAGTCGACCGAAACTCCCGGGAATCAAGCAGCAGGCTTCGACCCAAACATGATGGAGAAGTTCTTCTCCTTCATGTCCTTCTACGAGCAACACCAGCAAGCAGCTCCTGCGCAATCAAACAACAGTGACAACAACAACAGAGCAACACCAATGAGCCTTGACGGTTCATCCTATGCGCGCGGAAATCAGCAGCAACCCACCTTTGCTCCATACGAGCCTCAACGTGGCTCCATCAGTTTCGCGCCACAACCACAGTCTTCACCTGGACAAGAGAAGACATTGGACGCACTTCAAGTTCAATCACAATTCGCACACGTGTTAAAACTGCAAACGTCAACGCTCTTCGACGGAAAAGACTTCTATACCTAGTCATTCGAGTTCGAGCTGATGATGGAGGGCACGCAAATTCTCGGATTCTTCGACGGGTCCCTGCCATTGTCAGAATGTTATATTTGTCTAGCCTGCAGTGGGGTACTCAATAGTGAGTGTAGCCCAATCTAGGGTTTGCTATATATACTCAACTGCTTGCTAGTGCAATCCCTCTTTCTCGTTTCTAACTTTCAACTGCTGTTTTCAACATGGAATCAGAGCAGGTCGACCCTCCTGGGTCGATCCTGTTGATGGGCCCACCAAGACTTCCGCTGTCATCACTGCCTATCGCGCGCCTCGGGCACGCGCTGCCTTTCTGCTTGCCGCGCGCCCGTGGCGCACGGCAATTTTTCTTCCCGCCGCGCGCCTGCCCGTTGCGCCGCCCTGGGGGCAGCGCGGCGCCCTATACTGCCCGTCGTGTGCCCCGTGGCGCGCGACGGTGCCCTGCCTGTCGCGCGCCCCGGGGCGCACGGCGGTTTCGTCGCCCCGGGGGGCTCGTGCGCGGCCCCCTCGTCGCCCGTCTTGGTGCCATCGGGGGCCCGCGCGCCCCCCCCTTCCGTCGCCCGGCGTGGCGCCCTTGGGGGCCCGCGCGTGACCCCTTCCCGTCACGGCGCCCTGGGGGGCCGCGCGTCGGCCCCTCCCGTCTTCGTCGCGGCCCTGCCCGGCCCTGCCGTCCTGTCCCGGCCCTGCTTTGCCCGGCCCTGCCGTCCTGCCCCGGCCCTGTCCCGGCCCTGCCCTGCCCGGCCCTGCCCCCGTCTTCGTCGCGGCCCTGCCCTTCTGCCGCCCCGTTGCGGCCCTGCCCTGCTGCCGCCCCTGCTGCGGCCCTACCCTGTGTTGGGGTTTGGGGGTGGCGAGTATGGGGGTGAAGGATGTGTGCGGTCTCCCCTGCTCCTCCTCCTCCTCCGTCTCCCACTGCTGCAGCTGCCGCTGAGGGGGGTGGGTGTGTGGGAGACGATGGAGTGGCAGTAGGGGGGTGTGTCGTGTGGGAGTGAAACTAGGGGTGCAGCGGGGGGTGTGTGAAAGGGGGGTGCGACAGTGGGGGAGGTTGAAGGGAAGTAGCCGTCGTGTTGCCAGCAGTGCCAGTAGTCCGGAGGTGCGCTTCCGGTAGCCCAGTGATGCTACTGCGCCAGTCGCCCGTGGGTCCGTTGCTCCTGCCGCTCGTCTTAGCCGCGGAGCCAGTTACTCCTGTAGTCCGGAGGTGCGCCTCCGGTAGCCATAGTGCGCGCCGCTCCTGTTGCCCGTGTGTCTGCAGCTTCAGCCGTTGCCTCCTCTCTCCTTTCCTATCAGTCCAGCCTCCTCCTCCTCACTTGCCCTCTGTGATAGCCTCTAGCTTTACTTATTGCTGTGAACTATAAACTGTTGCTTCTTGTACTTGTGCTCAGAATGTGTGGTGACTTTGTGATCCACCCTGAGCTTGTTTTGCTTTGCTTGCTGTGTTGATTACACCCCACTTTGGCTATGGGGGTGTGTCAGAATGTTATATTTGTCTAGCCTGCAGTGGGGTACTCAATAGTGAGTGTAGCCCAATCTAGGGTTTGCTATATGTACTCAACTGCTTGCTAGTGCAATCCCTCTTTCTCGTTTCTAACTTTCAACTGCTGTTTTCAACAGCCATATCCAGCACATGGGACACAGTACGACAAGCAGCAGTACACGTATCAGTCGCTGATGGCGTACACGATACTTCTTCGAAATTTAATGCCAAACGAGCAGCAGAAAATTCGGTCTTATGGAGGATACGGCAACTCCACCGAACTGGCGTACGACCACCTGAAGAGTCTATATCAAGCAACAGACAGTGTTAATCAAACTCGTCTAATGGCACAGCTGACAACTGTGGAAATGAAACCCGGCGAAAAAGGGATGGCGTATATCAGCCGTTGTCGCGGAATGCGCGACAGACTCCTTCGATGCGGAGGAGCAATATCCGAAGAAGCCTTCGTAATAGTCATCATCGCCGGCCTCGGTCCTCATTGGCGCTCCACTCGAGCACTCCTTCGAGCTCACGGGAAAATGTCAGAAGCAGCACTCTGCGCCGAAATTCACGCTGAACAGCAGGATATGGATCTGCACGAGGAAAGACACAAGAAGAAAGCATCAGCACCAGAATTCGCGTTTCACACGCAGCGACGCTACAACAACAACAACAATCGACAAAACAACCGTCAGACTCAACAATACGTCCCACCGTTTTGTCACCTCTGCAAGACGTCTGGACATCCTCGCACACACTGCCCAAATCAGCAGCAGTCGACGACACTGCAACGTCAACTTCGTCCTTCAAGCAGCCAAGTAGCTTCTACGCAGGCACATGTTGGAATGTGAACGAATGAATGAAACAGAAAAAGAGGAAAGAGGGGATTCACTAGCAAGCAGTTGAGTACATATAGCAAACCCTAAATTGGGTTGTACTCACTATTGAGTACCCCACTGCAGGCTAGACAAACATAACATTCTGACACACCCCCATAGTCAAAGTGGGGTATGATCAGCACAACAAGCATCAGTTTATAGTTCACAAATAGAAGCAAAGCTAGAGGCAGTCATAGACGGTAAGTGAGGAGGAGGAGGGACTGTGAGAGGAGAGGAGATAGGAGGCGACGGGTGAAGCCGCAGATACACGGGCAACAGGAGCGGCGCGCACTGTGGCTACCGGAGATTGTAGCCTCCGGACTACTGGAGTAACTGGCTCCGCGGCTAACTCTGAGCGGCAGGAGCAACGGACCCACGGGCGACTGGCGCAGCAGGCTCGCTGGGCTACCGGAGATTGTAGCCTCCGGACTACTGGCGCTGCTGGCGACATGAAGGCTGCCTCCGCCCAACCTCCCCCTAACTGTCCCACCCCCCTTTCACACACCCCCTGCTGCACCTCTAGCACTGCTCACATGCCACCCCCTTAGTACCACTCCGACGGCTCCCACACATCCACCCCCCTCAGCGGCAGCTGCAGCAGTGGGAGACGGAGGAGGAGGAGGAGCAGGGGGGGCCGCACACACCCGTCACCCCCACACTCGCCACCCCCAAAACCCAACTCAGGGCAGGGCCGCAACGGGGGCGGCAGCAGGGCAGGGCCGCGACAGGGCGGCTGCAGGGCAGGGCCGCAACGAAGGACGGGAGGGGCCGACGCGCGGCCCCCCAGGTCGCCTCGACGGGCGACGGAGGGGGCGACGCGCGGCCCCCCAGGGCGCCGCGACGGGCGACGGGGGGGGGGGGGGGGGGGGGGGCGACGCGCGGCCCCCAGGGCGCCGCGACGGGCGACGGGGGGGGGGGGGGGGCGGGGGGGGGGGGGGGGACGCATGGCCCCCCAGGGCGCCGCGACGGGCTACGGGGGGGGGCGACGCGCGGGTCCCCGGGGGCGCTTCGACGGGCGACGGGGGGCGACGCGCAGGTCCCCGGGGGCGCTGCGACAGAGCAGCACGCCACCCGGGCAGGGCAGAAAACCACCGCGCGCCCCGAGTGCGCGGCGGGAAGAAAAATTGCTGCGCGCCATGAGCGCGCGGCAGGCAGGAAAATAGCGCGCGTCCGAGGCGCGCGATAGGCAGGACAGCAGCAGCGGAAGCTAACGGTGGGCCCATGCACAGGATCGACCCGTGAGGGTCGACCTGCTCTGATTCCATGTTAGAATGTGAACGAATGAATGAAACAGAAAAAGAGGAAAGAGGGGTTTCACCAGCAAGCAGTTGAGTACATATAGCAAACCCTAAATTGGGCTGTACTCACTATTGAGTACCCCACTGCAGGCTGACAAACATAACATTCTGACAGCACATCCCACCAATCAAGCGCAGTCTTCAACATCTTCAACGACAAAACCTGCACAAGGAACAAGAAACATCATAAGCTGTA